GTTATGTTAGGTTAGGTTAGGTTAGTTTAGGTAAAATTAGGTTAGGTTAGGATAATTAGGTTAGGTTCAATTACTGAAGTTTAGGTTAGGTTAGTTTAGGTTAGATTAGTTAGGGTGTTAAATAGTGTTAGGTTAACCTACCCTAACCTGACCTAACCTAACCCAACGTAACCAAACCAACCTAACCTAACGAGACATATCACAATCTAACCTGATATAAGCAAACATAACCTAACCTAACCTAACTTAACCAAATTTAACCTAAACTAACTTAACCAAAAATCTAAACTAACTTAAACTTACCTAAACTAATAAAACCTAAACCAACCTAACCTAAACTAACCTAACCTAACTTAACATAACTTAACCTAACCTAACCTAAACTTACCTAATTTAACTTAACCTAACCAAACCTAATCAAAGTTAGTTTAGGTAAGGTTGTGTTATTTTAAGGCAGGTTAGTTTAGGTTAGGTTAGGCCAGGTTAGTTTAGGTTAAGGTAGGTTAGTTAAGTTTATGTTTGGTTAGGTAGGTTTAGGTTAGGGTAGGTTAGGTTAGGTTATGGCAGTTAGGGTAGGGTTAGTTTAGGTTATGTTAGGTTAAGATATGTTAGGTTAGGTTAGGTTAAATTATGTTAGATTAAGTTAGGTCAGGTTAAGTTATGTTAGGTTAAGTTAAGTTAGGTTAGATTAGGTTAGGTTAGGTTAGTTTAGGATAGGTTAGGTTAGCTTAGGTTAGGTTACTTCAGTTTAAGTTAGGTTAAGTTTGTTTAGGTTAGGGTAGATTAGGTTTTATTATGGTAGATTTGGTTAGTATAGTTTAAGTTAGGTTAGGTTAAGTTAAGTTAGGTCAGGTTATGTTATGTCAGGTTAGGTTAGCTTAGGTTAGGTTACTTCAGTTTAAGTTAGGTTAAGTTTGTTTAGGTTAGGGTAGATTAGGTTTTATTATGGTAGATTTGGTTAGTATAGTTTAAGTTAGGTTAGGTTAAGTTAAGTTAGGTCAGGTTATGTTATGTCAGGTTAGGTTAGCTTAGGTTAGGTTACTTCAGTTTAAGTTAGGTTAAGTTTGTTTAGGTTAGGGTAGATTAGGTTTTATTATGGTAGATTTGGTTAGTATAGTTTAAGTTAGGTTAGGTTAAGTTAAGTTAGGTCAGGTTATGTTATGTCAGGTTAGGTTAGCTTAGGTTAGGTTAGTTTAGTTTAGGTTAGGTTAAGTGGGTTTAGGTTAGGGTAGGTTAGGTTTTATTATGGTAGATTTGGTTAGTATAGTTTAAGTTAGGTTAGGTTAAGTTAGTTTAGGTTAAGTTAGGTCAGGTTATGTTATGTCAGGTTAGGTTAGCTTAGGTTAGGTTAAATTAGTTTAGGTTAGGTTAGTTAGGGTGTTATTAGTGTTAGGTTGATCTAACCTAAGCTGAATTAACATTAACAGACTATCATAACCTAAGCTGATATAACGAAACATATCCTAACCTAACCTAACCCAACCTAACCTAATCTAGCCCAACCGTAGATAACCTAACCTAACCTAACCTAACCTAACCACACATAACCTCACGTAACCTAACCACACCTAACCTTTCGTAAAATAACGCAACCGTTCCTAACTTAACATAATTAACCTAACCTAATATAACCTTACCTAAACTAAGCTAACCTAAAGTAACCTAACCTAAACTAACCTAAACTAATGTAACTTAACTTAAACTAACCTAACCTAAACTAACATAACCTTACCTAACTTAACCTAACCTAACTTTTCCTAACCTAACCTAACCTAACCTAACTTAACCTAGTCTAACTTAACCTAACCTAAGCTAACTTAACCTAACTTAACCTAAATTAACCTAACCTAATTTAAGTAAACCTACTCGATCCTAAACAAAGTTAGTTTATTTACTGTTGCGTTATTTTAGGGTAGGTTATTGTTAGGTTAGTTTAGGTTATGGTAGTTAAGTTAGGGTTAGGTTAGGTTACGTTAGGTTAGGTTAGGTTAGGATAGGTTAGTTTATGTTAGGTCTGGTTAAATTAGGTTAGATGTGGTTAGGTTAGTTTAGGTTATGGTAGTTAAGTTAGGGTTAGGTTAGGTTACGTTAGGTTAGGTTAGGTTAGGATAGGTTAGTTTATGTTAGGTCTGGTTAAATTAGGTTAGATGTGGTTAGGTTAGTTTAGGTTATGGTAGTTAAGTTAGGGTTAGGTTAGGTTAAATTAGGTTAGATTAGGTTAGGTTAGGTTGAATTAAGTTAGGTTAGTTAAGTTTAGGTTAGTTTAGGTAAAGTTAGAATAGTTAAGGATTATTAGGTTAGGTTATGTTAGTGAAGGTTAGGTTAAGTTTGGTTAAGTTACGTTAAGTTAGGTTAGGATAGCTAAGGTTATGTTAGTTTAGGTTAGGTTAATTTACGTAAGGTTAGGATAGGTTAGATTAGGTTACATTAAAATAGGTTAGGTTAGGTTAGGTTATGATAGGTTAAGTTAGGTTAGGTTATTTTAGTTAGGTTAGGTTAGGATAGTTCAGTTTAGGTTAGGTTAGGTAGGTTTAGGTTAGGGTATGTTAGATTAGAATATGGTAGTTAAGGTTAGTTTAGGTTAATTTAGATTAGGTTAGGTTTAGTTAGGTTAAGTTAGGTTAGGTTAAGTTAGGCCAGTTTATGTTATATCAGGTTAGGTTTGGTTAAGTTATGTTAGTTTACGTTACGTCTGTTTACGTTAGGTTAGATTAGTTTAGGTTAGTTTAGGTTAGGTTAGTTAGGGTGTTGGGTACTTTTAGGTTGACCTAACCTAACCGAACGTAACGTATCCTCGCCTAACCAATCCAGACGTATCATAACCAAACCTGACATAACCTAACCTACCCAAACCTTACCTAACCTAACCTAACCTAACATTAACTTATTTAAACTAACGTAACCTAAATTAACCTAACCTAAAGTAACCTAACCTAAACTAATCTAACCTAATCTAACATAACCTAACTTAAAATAACCTAACCTGTCCTAACCTAACCGAACCTAACCAAAGTTAACATGTTTTCTTAACCTAACCTAAAATAAGTTAACCTAAATAACCTAACTTAAACTAACCTAACCAAAAACTAACATAACCTTACCTAACTTAACCCAACCTAACCTATCTTAACCTAACCTAACCTAACTTAACTTAAAATAGTCCAACTTAACTTAACCTTACCTAACATAACCTGACCTAACTTAAATAACCTAACATAAACTAACTTAAATAGATCTAAACTTAACCTAACCTAACTTAACGTAACTTAAATTATCCCATCCTAATCTTACCGAACTTAACCTAATCTAATTAAGCTATACTAACCTAACCTTAACTAAACTAACCTAACCTAAACTAACCTAACTTAAAATAACCTAACCTAAACTAACCAAAAATAACCTAACCTAACCTAATTTATCCTAACCTAACTTAACTTAACCTAACCAAACCTAAACAAAATTAGTTTAGATAAGGTTTCCTTATTTTAGATTAGGTTAAGTTAGGTTAGTTTAGGTAAGTTTAGTTTAGGATAAGTTAGGTTGGTTGAGTTTAGGTTTGGTTAGTTAGGTTTAAGTTAGGGTAGGTTTGGTTAGGTTATGTTAGGTAAGGTAGATTAGGTTAGGTTACGTTAGGTTAGTTTAGGTTAGGTTAGGATAGGTTAGGTTAAGTTAGATTAGTTTAGATTAGGTTAGATTGGGTTAGGTTAGGTTATGTTAGGTTAGGTTAGTGTATGTTAGATTAGGTTATGGTAGGTAATGTAGAGTTAGGTTAGGTTACGTTAGGTTAGGTTAGGTTAGGTTAGGATAGGTTAGTTTAGGTAAGATTAGGTTAGGTTATTTAAGTTAAGTTATGTCGGGTTAGGTTAGGTTAGGTTAAGTTACGTTAAGTTAGGTTAGGTTAAATAAGGTTAAGTTAGTTTAGGTTAGGTTAGGCTACTTAAGGTTAGGTTAATGTAGGTTAGGTTACATTAATTTAGGTTTGATTAGTTCGAGTTAGGCTAGGATAGGTTAAGTTAGGTTAGGTTAATTTAGTTCAGTTTAGGTTAGGTTAGATAGGTTTAGGTTAGGGTAGGTTAGGTTATATTATGGTAGGTTTGGATAGTTTAGGTTAAGTTAGGTTAGGTTATTTTTGGTTAGGTTAGGTTAGATCATTTTACGTTAGGTCAGTTTATGTTATGTTAGGTTATTTTAGAATTGTTTACGTTACGTCTGTTTAGGTTGGGTTAGGTTAATACAGGTTAGTTTTGGTTAGATTAGTTAGGGTGTTAGGTAGTGTTAGGTTGACCTAAATTAACCTGACCTAACCTAACCGAACGTAACCTAACCTGGCCTAACCTAACCTGACATATCATAACCTAACCTGACATAAACAATCATAACCTAACCTAACCTAACCTATACTAACCTAACCTAACCTAACCTTACATAATCTAATCTAATTTAATTAATCTAAAATAATCTAACCTAACCTAAATAACCTAACCAATCCTACCCTGGCCTAACATAACATAACCTAAACTAACCTAACATAACCTAAATTAACCTGTCCTAAAATAACGCAACTTTACCTAACCTAACCTAACCTAACCTAAATTATTGTAACTTACCCTATCCTAACCTAATCTTACCTAATCTAACCTAACATATTTAACCTAAACTAACCTAACCTTACCTAATCTAACCTAACCTAACCTAACCTAATCTAAAGTAACCTAACCTAAACTAACAAAACCTAACTTAACCTAACCTAACCTAACCTAACCTATCCTAACCAAACTAACCTAACCTATCCATACCTAAACTAACCTAACCTAAACTAACCTAACCTAACCTAACATAACTTAACCTTACCTAACCTAACCTATCCTAACTTAACCTAACCAACCTAGAAATAAAATCGTTCTTCTTAAACACAAAGAGAGTTTCATCTTGTACACAGTATGACTCAACAACTTAACGCAATAACAAATTTCTTAATAATTCTTATATAAGATGAGTACCTGTGATATTGTGAAATGTTTTTACCAGCACAAAATTGTCTACTCTACGACGCACTTCTTGTACAACCAATTCACAGCTCTGCTCTTTCCGCATTGACGAAAGTCGGTTGTTGACGACAATAATGGAAAACAACAGTGCCGAGTAAACAGATGAAGTTTCCTTGGTAACAAAAATTCCGAGTAAATAGATGTTACTTAGGTAAAAATTATTGTTTATTTGTTGATAAACAGATGACGTTTCCTAGGTAACAAAATAATGAGGTTTGACGTTTCCCAGGTAACATAACAATGACGTTTCCTAGGTAACATATTAATGCATGCAAGCTGAAAATTGTTGTCAGTCCATATTTACAAATTCTTGATATTTCCTAGGTTACCATCTAACACATTTTCCTTACACTTTTTCGTTTCCCTTTTTCGTCACACTTTTTTGCGGAATGACACTGACCCTTCCATATAGACGTATTTACGTCAAAAATCAAAACAAAGAGAATTACTCTTAACTTATAATTTGGTTACATGGTTAGATTCATTCATAATACTAAGTTCTTTGACTATAGGAAGAGAACACATTTAAAAAGAATGAGGAGAGACATAAGGAAGAATTGCAATTTCATTGCCCTTATTTAAAATAACGCCCGGTTTCAGTGTACTTGATTAATTTTAAAAATGATTTTTGAGGTGCCCAGGCGCTGAGCCAAAGAAAATATTTCCTTCCTTCGAACACCGGCAAAGACGTTTTCTGTTGTTCGGACAGCGACCACTAGGGACGAATGGCGCTAAGGCAAATTCTGTTCTTGTTCCTGGGAAATAATTTAATTGACTAAGGTCATAAGCCCGAAAACTGTCTGAGACCCAGAAGATGAATTTGTAAGGACCCGTCGTATTCCCTCCTTAGTAAATACCGCAGAGCCTACCGGCCATGTGTAGACTCGAAATTGAGGGTTGACATTTCTTTACTCGTTCGCTTGTGGCTCGTGAAGAAGGAACATAGCGCGATTATTCCTCAAGACAAGTGAGAGAACACAGGAAGGTCGGAACTCTGGAGAAAATATCCTGAGTTCGATTTCCTTCAAGGGCGGTTCTATTAACTCCGAAACTAAGCGAGACAGATCAATGGCGCTAGGATCAGAGTTTCTCTGCTACCAAGACGAGATTACGGAAACAGAGGTCTCGACACTGGGTTCGACTCCTGACAAGAAGAATGGTTTCTGTTGACAGGAACGCAACCGCGTTAAGAGAGCGACGCCAAGGCGAAATTCTTTTTCGGAGAGGAATTTACAGGATCTAAGGTCACAGACCCGAGTCTGTCTTAAGAAAACACCATTCCTGCGTAACGAACGCTTAGCTGGAAATGGTAAACAGAGCCTCGTAGCTGAAACGAGAGTTTTGTCGCTTCGGAAGACTTGACGGTCTGCGAATTGGGCATGGGGGAGGAGGTTCACTTCAGCTGAAGGACTCAAAAATTTTGGGTTGGCGGACCGTCCTGCTTTTGAACTATACTCTTGTATTTGCCTTACAACTGAGGAAAAGCTCGGAAAACCTCACTTATCCCCAAATTTCTACTAGCGCCAGGTAAAACTTCTTTGTTTTCCTTTATCAAAATAGTCGTTTTCAAATTAAATTTCAAATGTGTCTAGTCTAAATAAATCATGTCTTGGATCTATCAAAAAAAATTTCCGGCGCTTTTGATCAAAACAGGATCACGAACACTGGCCTTCTACGATTTTAATTCCCAGAAATAGAATTTACGTTCCCTCAATATGACGCCAGCAGTTAATAAGAAGATTTCACACTTGTCAGTTGGTTGATCATCGTTTAAATCTGAAAAGCAACAAGCTACTATGGCTACTGTTACGCACTGAACTCAAGGAAATTTCTTAATTTTCACGACACTTCGTGCATGAACCATCAGCTTCAACGCTGCATTCTGTGTTTATCGGTTGCACTGCAAGCAGTGGTTATTAGGAGTTCTTAAATATTTCTCAGACCGTCTTCCGATTTAAGAGTTACGAAATTAATTCAAGAGATTTTTTCGTATTGCTGTAAAGTTGAAATATTCACCTTGAATGCAGAAGGTATTTGGAGTACAACAACCTCGTGCTGTAGAAAACAGTTCAATGCAATTCTACCTCAAATTGTTTAGTATTCGTGACAGCACAAATAAAATCAGACAATCGGCCGTTGCCAATAACATGACATAAAAAGAACCAGCTGCTATCCTCCCTTAAGGACGAAGGTGGCTACAGAATTCCTCCGGTAGCCAACATTACAGAAGTAGAGTCCTCTAGATTCAACGAGATCTTTCAAATGGCATTGCTGGCATGTGAATGTTTAACGATTACACACCAACACTCACGATACCACAGACAATTACAAATACAATTGCAAATAATAACAATAATAAAAAATTGGAATCGCTTACCTCAAACTTTGTTCAATTGTAAGAGACCTCGATGTCCACCGGCAATTATCAATTTAATCAAAACTAATGGAGTATCACAGACTTCTTATATAAGATAAGTAATTGTGATATTCTAAAAGGTTTTTAACAACACAAAAATATCTAATCTACGACAAACTTCTTCTACAAGCGATTCACAGCTCAGCTCTTTCCGCAATAACGAAAGCAACCAACCAACCAAAGAAGCTAACTGAGGGCGGAGGCCTGCGCAAGCGCAAGCATCGTCCCTACCTAGGTGAAACCATTGCTGCGCACAAGACGCAATGCTGGAAATGGTAAACGGTCTTAATATAAGAACGGAAATTTTGATAACGCTAACGGGGTTTCGTCGTGGCGGGAGCCTCGACCATTCAAACTGGGATCTGCTTGTGCTGATGGGAGTTTATCCCGTCAGGCAAGTTGTCCAAAGGAATTTGGTTGGTTGGGTCTCTGGGGTTTGAACCCAGAGAGGGAGGGGCCGTTTCGGCTGAAGGCCTCTACGGCATGGGGGGAAGATCACGTCAGCTGATGGCCTCCATGATCGGGGGGGAGGATGGCGGGCCGTGCTCCTATTAAGTTATACCCTGGCATTCGCCTTACAACTGAGGAAAGCACGGAAAACCTCAGTCAGGGTAGCCGAGTAGTCTAACCACTCGTTGTGCCGACTTGCCAGACAATAATGTCTAACGCAACAATGTCTATAAACTAACAACAATGCCAGACGCCACAATGTCAATAAACAGACAACTAAACTGTTTATGACATTGTTATGCTGCTCTCAAGGCAACACGTCACAATATAAATCTCGAAAGACTGAGATCCAGGCGACCCCCACGAGTTACTGCAGAACGCCTTCAAGCTGGCAATTTTAAAAGCAAAATTGCTTGGGAAACAAACCCCCCCTGACACAAACAGCCACATAACCCTCAGAAATCACCAACGGGACAAGGCCTTCCTCGACAAACATGGAAAACCATCAACAGGATCCGCACCGGCCATGGTGCACGTGCAGACGTCCTTAACAACTAGGGAAAAATTCAAACAGCCAACTGTGACTGTGGTGTGAGTCATCAGACCATCAAACATATTGTGCAGAAATGTCGCCTGAGGGCACACCCAGGGGAACAATCGCACTTCCTCCTAGCCTCTCCACCAGCACTTGAATGGATTGCCAATCTTGGACCTAAATCTACAGTACTGTATTTATACTTTATAACATGTGTTGTAATATAGCCATAAGATAAATAACAGAGAGCGACAAATCGTGGCTGGTGCCATGCTCTGTGCACGCAGCTACTATTTTACTGATTGGCCAGTTGGGTCAGACCGCCATTTTTGAAAGTTCAGATAATGCTAATCTGTTAGGGCAAAGATACCTATATATCGATAAAGCTGAGTTACGGCTGAGGCGATCTTAAACTAAACCCAGCATAAGAGTCTCGTGTCTCGTTTAACCAAGAGCAGAATCAAGGCTAACAAATAAACCCGAAGAGAAGAAGAGGAACGGTTACAAATGGCGCAGACTAACTCGGGGCACGAGGGGCCGGACATGCAGTAATTACAACGAGACGCATCAACTGTACGCACAACGGTAGCGGTGACAGAACTGGATTTGAACTCCGAACACCACTAAGGGCGCGGAGAAGCGTCCTCACCAGAACCAGCAGACAACACGGCGTGCGAGAAACACAGAACGGAAAGATTCGTCTTTCTCGGCATCAAAAGACTGCCTGAAAGCTGCAAAGCATTTTGAGAACGCTTTGAAACGTATGTTGAGACAAATTTATTTTTCTTTTTTCTACAGAACGCAGTCGAGGAAATCAGGGATGGCTTGTGGCGCGCGAGCAAGACAAATCCAAAATTGATAAGGTGAAACAGTGTTGCCGCAAAGCTATACAGTTTTTAGAAGAAGAAGTGAGAGGTATGATGAGACAAATTTGACGCTTATTCTGTGTCACTAAAATATATCTGAATAGAGAAGTGGTCACATCCCTTCCCTACTCTAAACTTATAAATCTCCTTCTTGGTCTACTCAGTGATCGCTTTCCAAAGGATTCCTAATTTCTGTACATATACCTTACTTCGTATCCTGCCCACAGAAACCTTGTACATTTCAGTATCATGGTTTATTTTACTCATAAGACTAATATAATGATTAGTGCAAATAAAAGCTGCTCCCCAATTAAACCCGTAATTCTGATGCTCTGTTACAGAGAAACAACCACGGACAGGCAATATCAGCATAGACGATTTAGAAGGCCTGATGGTACTAGGAAAAGGAGGCAAGTGCAGGTTTCTGTTAATTCTGAGCCAATTTTGCTGCTTATAGAATGCAAACCTGATTACCCGAACCTTCATGGACAGATTGGCAGCAGCAGCAGTAGTAAAGTTATTATTATTGTTGTTATTGTTATTATTATTATTAGTAGTAGTAGTAGCAGCTGCAGCAGAAGCAAGGAAAGTGCAGCCCATCCCAAGTTCTGAATCGGTCACAACTTTTATAGGTATGTGACTACAGAAAATTTAAAGATACTGAACATCAGTAACAACTGTCTGAGCACAACCTTCTTTCTCCACTCAGATCCCTGTCGCTATCAAAGTTCCGAAGACCATGGAATTAACGCATCGTAATCATCTGCAATATTTCCTTGTTCCTAGAAGTCAGAATAAGTCGTGGGAGATAAGTTAGAATAACGCAGGATTTATTTATCCCTTATGTAAGACAATGGAAATGTGTCAGCAGCAATACTGATTTTTTTTTTTTTTTACCTTTTTCTCTGATGGCTGACATGTTATTGAACGCCTTCCTAGCAAAGTACTTTAGCAAATCTGAGCTGTTACTAATGCTTCCACATTGTCGTCACATCTCCTTACTGATCCTCTATGTGACGCTAGGTCTAGTTCATAACAGGGTAGAAGACTTCTTAATATCTGCACCAAATGCACGGAACCGCACTGAATCTTTTGCCATCTCCATGGACTTTTACGAACGTAATTCTTAAGCAGCAGACAATGAGGAGACCAGCGTCTCACCGCTACCTCCGGTCACTCAATCGAGAGTGAAATATGCGGGTAGAGGGTGACAGGACATTTCTGTGGCGCGGTCCTTGTTCCTGACGTCAATGAGATTTTAATTTTGCATTGTGTCACGCCGACCAACATTCTGAAGTGTAGTACAACCAGAATTACAAAAATCGGGCACACGTAATCACGCAGGAGCGAGTCCCTAGCAGAGATAAGGCTAAAATTCCAGTCAGTGTGCTTCGCGTTGAGGTCACCAGCCAAGAGGACCGGGAAACCCCCGCTCAAGCACTCGGTCAGGTCCGACTCAATCCATGGCCGGGTGGGTGCGAGGTATGCCGCCACGAGCTTGACTTTCCTGGTTGCCAGCACCAGGTGAATGGCGGTTGCTTCCAGTTGCTGCAGACCCGAGACCGGCACAGGGTAATGAT